TTTTTTTTTTTTTTTTTTTTTTTTGTCTGTAAGTGTTGTAGCAGTCTCTTTCAGCCATGATGACTATCTTGTCCTGTCCTTACTCATTTAAAACATAGCTGTAGAGGTCTTGTTTTATTTCGTCAGTTTTGATCTCTTCTGACTCCTGAGTCTGGAAAGGAGCCTGGGTGAGCAGGATCGAGCTAGCTTTCAAGAGCGAAAATAAAAGAAGCAACTGTTGCAGCAACTGAAATTGAAGTAGTTCTTGTGTTTGTTTGTTGTTGTTGGGGTTTTTTTTTTGTCGGTTTTTTTGTTCCTTTGGATTTTTTTAAGAGTACTTATGTTGAGTGAAGTAACTCTACTGAATAGGGGAGCCAACAAGCTGTCAGGCCAAGGTTAGTACCAAGTGCAGTTTGATTCTTGCTGGTCCTTTTAGCCCTATATGATTCTTGGGGGCTGAGATTAATTGCTTCCAGTCCTTGTTTTAACTTCTTGCCCTCAAAAGAGCTTTTCTGCTAAGCTCTTCTTTTCCCTCTGCTGGATGGGTATGTTCCCTGTGATACAAGGACTTGCTTCTTTTGGCTTCTGCGAGGCTTCTTGCATTCTTGGAGAGCTCTCATGCTCAGGTACTCATATGGAAGGGAGTATGTGCCTGTGCCTTTTTTCTTTCTTAGGAAGTTGACTTCATTGCTTTGTTTTCTGTGCGTTTACTGTTACAAAGTTAAAATGACTGACCTGTAGGTCTCTAGCTTTCTCTGTTCTCCTTTTTGAAGACTACTACTGTGTTTAGCCTTTTCCAGTATTTTTTGGGACTTCACTTGTGCTATGTGGTTTCAAATGTGGATGTGGCTAGCTCTCTCTAGTGCCAAATCAGCATAGCAGGTACTGCTTAATTTATCAAAATAATAATTTTTACTTGCTTTTATGCCTCTCTAAGTATGTGTTTGAATTGTCTGAAGTTGACCATTTTATAATGAGGCTGTGTGTGGGGTATAAGGAAACATGACATAGTGAGAGCTTCTGAATGTCTGTTAAGTCTAATTCACCCTTCATTCTTCTCTCAAATATGACCAAAAATACTGCAACTAGTCAGAAATTATGTACAGGCAAAATTTTGTGTTATCATCTTGGATGCATTTTTTGGAGAGCTCCTGGGACCTGATGGGTTTGATTTAAATAAATCCCTTCAGTCTGTTGGAACCTGACTTTGGCAAACTGGGTGACAGAAGAAAGCTATGCATTTGTGGTTTTGTTTTAATTCTCACAAAATTAATAGGCATTAGATGTTGAGCTGAATTAATTTTTGTTCTAAATGAAAATCCTCTGAAGTCAGATTACTCTGTATTTGTAGTCTCAGCTGTTCTGAAGTTAGGTGTTCAAGGGGAGCTGTTTTACAGACATTGCCTGCTTAAACATTTTTTGAAGAAAAGTAAACTACCTTACATACATTGCACAAGCAGAGCATGTTACATAAGGTATCTCAGGGTAGCTAAAACATGGCAAAACTGTGCCCAATGTATCCTGTGTTGTAACTTGTTTGCCTAGCTATGCCAGAATGATTAGTGTTAGCACAGAATGCTAATACGGGTATGAGGTGAGCTATGAATGGTTGTAGGTCACATACTGAAGTTATTGAGCAGTGCACAACATTTAGTTTTCTTAGACTGCACAATTACTCTATTTTGTGGGAAATAAAAGGCTGCACAATTACTCTATTTTGTGGGAAATAAATTTGGTTGAGATGGAAAATGTTTTTTGCTTTTGAGTGTGTGCTTTCTTTGCTCTTCCTCCCAACCCAAGGGGAAGAGGAGGATTTGTTTTGAAGTTGTGGTACTTATGATAAAAAGAGAAGAAAAAAATTAAAGTAGTAGTTTCTTTTCAGGTATGTGCCTACACTGTAAGGATCAAAAAGATGGTCCATTTATTTCTCCCTCCTTGTGTGCATGTTTTCATTTCCCTTTTCCAACCCTACGACTTTTTGCCTTTTTTAATGCTCTTTGATCACTAGTCAGGAAGTACTTTGAAATGAGGGGACTCTATTTTCATCCTGCCATACTGTTACGTATGTCAAATGGTGAAAGATTTATACTGTGTGAGCTTGTTAGATATTTGACAGTGTGGCCTTCCTTAGTTTTTTTTCCTTACATAAAACAGAGTAGGGAGGGGTGAGGGTGTAGGAGAAGTCTTGTCTGTTACACTGCTCCTTGTCTCTCACAAAGAGGGATTTGGAGGCTTAGTTTTGAGAGTTCCCTTGTGATGAAGAGGAGTTAGTCAGAAGGGGATGTACTTGGTTAGGTACTGTCAAAATGTTAATTTGATATAACCATGTGATACTTTTTTTTTAAATTGCTGGGTTTTAACAAATTGTAATAGTTTTAAATGGCATGAGATTATGCAGAAAGGAATAAAGCTTTGAAAAATGACATTTGATGGGCCACAAACTTTATTCTAATTCTTCACAGAAATTAATTTGTCATTAGCTGTTCTAGCCTCTCTTCTGTTATGCTTTCTTCACAGCTATGTTAGTATCGGGCCCAGTGCACATTATACTGTGAATGGTTCTTCTGGTTAGATGTTAAAAATAAATAAATCACAGTGTGGGAACAGGCCAGTGTATAGTGGAAAAGCAGAATGTCTCCTGTTCACATCCTGTGCTGAATGAGGGAAGAACAGATACACTTTTAGCTTTGAAAACAAACCAAGAAGAAAAACCCACCAGGAATGCTAGGTTTCTTCTTCCCTGACAGTGTGCGCTTGAAGGGGTATTTTGTTCTCTTGTCAAGTGTTACTCTACAGGCATTGATAAAATAGAGTTTGAGATAAGTTACCACTGCTAAAGAAGAGTGTTGGTAGTATTGATGTTGCAGTGTGGAGTTACAGTGATGTCTGAACCAGCTTGACAACTGGGAACAAGTTTATGTTGCAGTGTTGGGCTTGAATCAGTCTTGAGAGACAGAGCTTGCTTTTAGTTCTTCACTAACAGGGGCCACATAGCTTTCTGTGTCCCAAGTGGCACTTCTTTCTCTGATACTGTAGGATATAATATCTCAGCTCAGATCTTTGCATCTAGATGACACACAAATTGTAGCCTAGTAGTGGAAACACATGATGATCTAGTAGAGTATAGTTGAAATGCTGTAGTATAGTATGTCCTGAAAGAGTGCTTTGTGGAGTAGCATGAAGCAGACTGTTGCATGAAAACAAAGACATCATAAACTGGAGACGTCAGAGAAGAGGGATAGGAGGGAATGTGGGAAAGACAAGTAATTTGAAGGTCAGTAAAAAAAAAAAAAGTTATGAGATTAGAATTAAACAAAATATTGGGAAGGATTGGATAAATTTCCTTTTACAGTCACTTAAGTAGATGTTTGTAAAGGATAAAATAACTTTAGACAGTGGCCTTTCATGTACAGCTTAGGGAAAGGTTACAGAAGCAGCTGCTCCAAGTTGTTTTGGTTCTGCTGAGAATAATTATTTGCTGGAAGAATAATGTTAATAAGCCTGTGCCAACCTCCTTATCCCCCTAAAGGTGATCTGCTAAGTGAATTCTATCTGGTTAATCACTAGCCGCTAGACACTTCAAAGCATTATCAAGTGTAGCTGGGTGCAAATTAATGTAATTCTTTGAACAGGAAGGAAATTGATAGTGGTAACCTAGCCTCTTTGTTTCAGTTATCAGCTAGATATGGTCTCTTCCAGTACTTGAGCAGATGCTTTTTTCCTTTGGATCTGATTGTGTGCTGTACATGTTTTCATGGTGTTTTCATTCTTAATGTAACAGACTTCTGTTGGGACTGGGAGAAAAATAGGGAGAAGGGAGGATCTTCTATATGTGAGAACTTTGTGTCTGGCTCGGGTCATTCTCTTTGAGTGCTTTGAGAAACATAACTTATATATGGAAGTTGGCAAGGTGGTAGGGTTTTGCTAATATTTTAAAGACCTGTGGACTTCATAGACCAATGAACCTGTAAAACCTTTCATATGTTCCCAGTATACTGAGTGAGGGTGACACCTGCTTGAAATGTTTAATGAATTACTCTCCATGTTTGCAAAAGTACCCTAATGTTCTCTTATGAAAGATAATAAATAACACTTATCTTTGTTCATACTAAGAAAGTGATTTCTTATGTGCAAGATGAGAATTTTCTTCTGTATAATGCATTGTGCAATAAGCTAATTGCAACAAGACTGTTTCTTATTCCTCTTTATGAAGCAAGGCAGTGCTTGGAGGCAGAATACCAGACGTGATAGACAGCTGGACTAATTTGCTGTGTCTAATTCTCTGTTTCTACAATAGAAATGGCCTTTGCATTTTAAAAGCTGAATGTTTATTATGGCAAAATTATTTGAAAGTGTGATTCTTTTTTGTGTCGTGTTTTTAAATCTGAATTTGATCCTGGCTCTCTGATGGATAACTGAGGCAGCTGAACAGCTGGTAATACAAACGGCTATACATTTCAGCAAAAAACTTCTAATTGCAGCAGCCTGGAAGAAAAAGGGGAACAGATGTATTTTTACACACTTTAAGAAGACAAAGTGGCTGGAAGAAGAGCCAGATTTCTATGACCGTCTAAATGTCTGCAGATTATCACGGGTCAGATAGCTGTATTATGATAAAATTCAGTTACAAAACTCTTTCCTTAAATAACTCTGGTTTCTCCTTTCATGTTGTTTGACACATGATTAATCAACCTTTAGGCACTTAGGGAACCTGAAAATCTCTATATATTGTAGGGTAAGTTAAGAGCTTCCAGAGAGAATGAAAACAAAGTTTGTGTAAACTACATAGTTTCCATAATTCAGTACAAAGAAACAAGTTGTCATTGTCCCATCAATAAGTAGCATTATATATAGATGTATAAATGAGTAGCTGCACACATGACGTGACTTGGTGTTTCTTTCACATTCAGAGCTTGGGTTTGTTTTTGTTTAAGGGGATGGGAGGTGTCCTATCATTTGGAATTACTTGGCTGTAAGGCAGAGCACGTATGTATCAGTGTTCCCAGCTGGATAACTGCTGGGGCTGACGTGTTTTGTGCTGTTGGCTTAATAACTGATGGGGGGGTAGGGGCTGAGCGGGGGATGTTAACCAAAAGGATTTTGCTGTCATCTCTGAACATAGTAAGGAGAAATGTTTTGCCCATGTTTGGCAGTTTTAAGACCATATTTTATTTTTAGAATAGCTTCTTTGAGGAGAGTTCCAGCACAATACAGAGAAAATCCCCTCAGATACCACATGTGTGCTCTTGGGATCTGAGCTGCTTCTTAGGGGCTTCTGACTAAAGCCTTCTGGCACTGGAGACAAAAGCAGGGCCTGTACCTGTAGCTGAGATTGCAAAGTCCATAAGGCTGCAGTTGGGCAGCCTGAAGAAGCATTAAATTACCCAGGATACAGTCCAGTAGAGGCTGGTACCCCATGGGCTGTTCTGATTCTGGTGATGTTTCCCTGGTCAGCTTTAGTGTCCATGGGAATTTCCCATAGCTGGCCCTTAGCTTGGCTGACTCGGCTTCTACTGGAAAGACAGGTCTGTATTTGAGACTTGCATAACTTATTCATAGTGGCCTGAGGTATCAGGTAAACTAGACTTAAATTATTCATATACCTTTATTAAAATGTGTTTGAAACAGGAGCTTGCTTTTAAAATAAAGGTAAAACTTTCAGAGTGTTGGTGATGCTTTTTTTAATAATCTGTGTTTTAATTGTTTGCGTACAAGTTACTCAAATGCTTATTTCAAATTTGCATATTAGACAAGCCTGCTTCTTAAAAAAAAAAACAAACCCAAACAAACCACCAGAATGTCCTGATAAATGGTCTTACAAGCATTGTGTCAAGTGTGAGAAGTCAAAAAGAGGTGCTGTAAATCTCATTTGCTTTTTCTCCAGCATGCAGCGTGATGCTTTTGATTGTCTCTACCCTCGTCTTTGCTGCTCTGTGATTGACTTAAAAGAATGGTCGAGGTGGGAGGGGAGGTTTTAGGAGTGTGTTTTCTGTGCCTCTCCATTCTGGGAATCAGCACTCAGATAATTTTCAGGACTGTTCTTTTGATTTTGCAGGCTTATGTTGTCCATCCAGGAAGAG